AATTTAATACTTCACAGGCAATGTCTCTGGTTCTGTCCTCTAAGGCTCACATCCAGAGTGCAGTCTCTGTCTATAGTACCCTTTCTTAGAAGTCTGAACCTACAGGCCAGTTGCCCTAGGCCTCAGCACCATGAATCATGACTCTTCCATAGCATAATTACACCTTCCCCTCACTAACACTCCTGCTTACACTTTGAACCTTACGAAACAGTTACAACAGGAATTGCAGACTTCGGAAAGTTAACATAAATGCATGCATATAGACACACTGGAAATCTTTTCAGGTTTAGAGAAAATCCATGCAAAAAATAAACTGTACAGAAAATCCCTCTCTACTAGCCTCACCATTCCAAGATCGCTTTGGATTTTGGTTACGTAAGAACAGACTTTAACATTTGAGACTTTCAGTCCACTCAGTCATGTGAGTTTCCAGCTAGCACCAAAGACCCCATTAGGTGATCTGTTCCTTGATTACTACTCACTAGAAGTCCAAACTGGAAAAACTGGTTTCTTGTAGTTTAGCCATTCTCATTAACATTCCCATTGTATAGCTAGGGCAAAGTCATTCCATATTAATGACCTTGTCTCACTCTGCATTGTTTGCCTTGTGTCAACAACACAGGTCTCAAGGAGGGAGCAGGGGAGGCTACAGGGAATGCACTCGTATGGCCTCACAACCAAACTGGTGCGCACACAACAAAATTTTCACATACGTACATATGTGTATGAAATCATCACAGACAGCAACAAGAGAAACTCTGTGACATGTAGATTTTGATCACATCCTGTTGGTAATTTAGAAAACAGGAGTGGGAATCACACTTAGATTAATGATCCAACATAGTGCGAGGAGGCACACTTGCTGGAGATGGCATTCTGAGGGGAGAGGTCTTATAACAATCTATATTGTACAGTAGGACCCCTATTCCAAAGAGGACACAATCAAAGGGCACGATTGTAACCTGACCATAAACAGGTGTAAGAAGGAATAAGATGTGTGTGCAGATTCACCAGTTTCTTTGGGTGTAGACATGGAAGAAGTAGGGGTTGTATAGCCAATAACTCCCCAACCACATCATATAAGTTGGAAACTGGAAAACAAAAGTGTGGAACAGGTATAACCTCAGGTGAGGTGCTGGAGGTGTTGGGAAGCAAGACTAATATTCTGCTACAGGTTTGAGAAGGTAGGGAAGATGTGCCAGTCTAATGCACAGTCATTTCCATGGGCTCTTTCTCTTATATGTTGCGTCTTATTCACAGGACTGAACAGTTTGCATTAGATACTTCAGTACAGTGAGAAATGATAGAATACCATGGGGGATTGAGGATGGGAAAACTACAAAAGATCAGGGAAAAACAAAGGTTTTAACTATATGTTAAAAATGTTCATGGCACTTTCCCCAAGAGATAGCAAGCAATTCCTGATGTCTACCTTAAATGTCAATTGAGTAAATATATTCTATCTAAAAATCCCCTGTGGTTATGGTTGGAGAAGGTGTTCTTCATGCTTGTTTCAGAAGTAATGCAATGTAGAATGTGTCCTTTAAACAGAATTTGTATATGGTAAAATTAATTTTAAGGAATAAGCCAACTATATGTTCCTTGATAAAGGATAATCAAGGTTTTCAGTGAACTGCCTCACTAAGCCAAGCCTTCTGCAAAACACCATTGCCAAGTCCCTATAATGCTTCCAAACATTATCTATCATTCCCACTTTTTATAAAGATCCTGGCTAACTCCCCCTTCCTCAGTCATGGCCATTCATCCTTCCATGATGCTATGTTCTCATTAGTTCCCCCTCCCAAGCCCCACATATTCACACACATCTGGGGCAAGAAAATTGAGGAAGCTGGAAGGGAAATGAAAGAGACAAGGGATACGCATGTGTGCTTATTTGAGAAATGGGGTGTAGGTTGTAGGTGTGTCGGTCTAAGGACATATTTGAGAAATGGTTGCTCATGCTGCACAATGAATGTACAACCTTAACTCTGACCATAACCATAGTACATCCATGCAAGCAGACACGCACACTTACAATGATATTTTATGTATAAAATGCTGACTGTGTAACAAACTTTTAATACAGATCATTCATTCAGGTAAGTTTTCTCAGCCTTACCAGGAAAACAATTTGCAGTCTGACACCATTTCAAAGCACATACCAACACAAAGCTACATCCATTGCAACTGGTGCAAGTCCCACTGCCGCTATATTAATCAGCAAAATACATGAACAAATCACCAGCCCACAGTCAAAGCTTGAGGGCTCCTGGAACTTTGTTGAGATAACTGACAATGCAGAAGCTGTGGGCGTAAGAAATGAAGCTAAGGTTACAAAGAGGAACTGATGACTAAAATGTGGACAAAGCATCAAATGACTTAGCTGCTTGTTGTGGTTTCTTTGGTGGAATGTACAGTACTGCAACATTAAATGTGCCATTTTTTTTATAGAATAACAGTTAATACCATGGATTAGTCTACACCCTCTCTCAAGCCTCTAGAGATCCTTTAAAATACATTATATTTTAAATTATTTTTTATTTAAAATGGAAGTTACCAGGCCAGGTCGACATGCAAGGGAAAAAAAAAAAAAAAGAAATAACCCCCCCTTAAGAAATGGCATTTCTCCAAACTAACATTGCAAAACCCTTAATCACAAGAGTTAAATTATTTGGAAAACTTCCTTTAAAGCAGCAGAAAGGAGTGACAAGCTTGGGGTGGTTCAGACCCTCAGATTAGCTGCGTGAGCCTGTGGACAGCCAGGGACCCATTCCTAAACAGACACTCAGACCCCACTGTCGACGACTGTATTAACATGGGGCTAACTAAATCAAACATACTGGTACTACAGGAAGACAGAAGAGGATGACAGGAAAGAAATGGCAGACCTCATCTGGTGGAGAGGGGTCTGGCATAGACTTTTGCAGGCGTAGACCCTCTTAGCAGGGTAGTGGGTGGGGGTATGGGTATGGAGATGGGTGCGTGGGCATGCGGTTGCACGGTGTGAACTGTGTAACAGGTTTTATGCGGTTGCACGGTGTGAACTGTGTAACAGGTTTTTAGTGTGCTTTGAGCTGCCAAGTGAACCACAAGGGCCACCTGCGAGAACGTTGGAGGTGGAGTTATAGATATATCTGTATCTATCTAGATATCTATCTCTATTTCTATAGCGATAGATAGATAGATAGATAGATATGCAAAACAAAAAACAAAAAAAACAAAAAAACTAGCTGCCTGAGCCTTGATATGGCCTTTTAATGCAGAAGTGCTGAGTGACTGGGTGGGGGGGGAAGTTTCACAACAGGAACTGCTGAAGGATGCGAACGGGGGCAAACTGGGGGAACATGTTCAGTGTCTTGTTTAACCCATGCTGCTGGATTTGGTTGTAGCCATGTTGGTCCAAGGCAGCAGTTCTGAAACTCTGACAGATGGCATGCCGCCAATTTAAAACGATGCAACCTTAAGGACCACCAGCAATTTTTTCAGTTCAACCTTAAGTACCAGCAGCAAATATTTATCATATAAAGTAATTCTAATAAATCTGTTACCTGACCAGTGGCCTGCATACCACTGGTTTAGGGTGGTCATCATAGAGAGCAGTCTGGTTGCCCTCTGTCCTCTATTGATACAAAACCAGACACCTTTGTGTGCATCAGTAGTGGACGTATCCTCTATTGATACAAAACTGGACGCATTTATGTGTATCAATAGAGGACATATCCTCTACTGATATGAAACCAGACGTCTTTATGTGTCTTGATAGCAGACATATCCTCTATTGATACGAAACCGGACACCTTTATGTGTATCAATAGAGGACATATCCTCTATTGCTACGAAACCAGACGCCTTTACGTGTATGGATAGCCGACGTATACTCTATTGCTACAAAACTGGACGCCTTCCTGTGTGTTGATGGAGGACGTATCCTCTATTAATACGAAATCAGGCACCTTTATGTGTATTGATAGCAGACATATCCTCCATTGATACGAAACGGGACGCCGTTATCTCCTCTATTGTTCTCTTCAAGAAAAAGAGCCGTCTCTATTTTTCGCTTCAACAAACATAAAAGCATCCAGTTTCGTATCAACAGGGGCCAGAATAGCAGAAAACCGGCCGCTCCTCCACAATGGCCACCCTACTGGTGGTACCACTGCCACACATTGGGACACGAATGCCGCGTGCCCCTGGCACTTGGCGACCATGCACAGATGCTGCCGGCAGCAGCGTCAGTGTTGGCCCGCAGCAATCGGTGCCTTTTCGCAGAGGGTGCAGGCGCAGACCCTTACATGTCGCCAATGTGCTCTACGATGCCCGCCCTAACCCTGGCACAGATGGGGAACCGCCAGCCCGTGGATGCGGGCGGTTCAGGTTCTCGACTCTCATAAAAGATGACCCAAGAGGCCGGCTCCCACCTTGTTCCCCCCCAAGGGGTGACTCCCTGAGGGGAAGAGGCTGCCCCCCCACCCACACAGGGGGATCGTCCCCTTGCCCTTGCCCTAGCTATCACCTTCAGCACCTGCCCCTGCCCGCTCCCCCCGGCGGTCTCCGCAGCCTGGGCGCCCCCTGGCCACGTGCGTGCGCGCTTGCCCCGC